TGTTTGCAAGGATTTTTTTTTAAGTAATATTTTTCCTCAAGATGAATCTAGGAGAAAGCGAAATAAGATTAACTAGCATTTTGATAATCATGTAAATTCCATTTTTTTTTTGGAAATTGTTTTAGAATAAATTCTTATTCTAATTTTTCCATTTAAAATAAATTATGTGGATTTGGGGGAGAAAATGTTTCAAAGGATATCAAAGTGGTAATTTTTAAATGATCTTAAAAATGTGATGCTAGTTTGAAATTCCAAAAAAACAACAAAGTTATTAAACAATTCTATCAACTGAATATTGGGAAATTTCTACTATTTGTAAACGAATCATGTCTTCTTTACATTACAATTATTATTAATATACGGTTTATAAAATATATATTTAAAGAAACAATTCCACATTTTTAGATTTTCTCTCACAGAATTTCAATATTAAAATAAAAAAAAATGGAAATCTCTTAATCAAACTTCCGTCGAGCAGTTTTCCGTCGAACCAAGGACGTTATGAGACTCAGCACAGGTAGGGCTGTCTTAACAACAGCACAGCGATGCACTGGGGCCTCCTAGCAACACCACATGGCTGGGCCGTGAGATGGGGGGTGAAGGGGGCACTCGCCCAATGCTCAAACAGTTTGGGTGGAAACAGTTCCTGGTCCCCACCAACTTAGCAAGAGAAATAAAAATGTAAAATAAAAATAAAATTCGATGAATTCAATCTATTGATACTGAAAATAAAATAATTCAAAATCAATAATAGTTTTTTAAAATTATAAAATAAACTATAAGTAATCACAGAAGATGATCAATTATAATTATTGACAGATAGATTTAATAATTTTTTTTACTATAAATCAACAAAATGTTTTGCATTTTTTTTCTCCAGAGAATGGTTTTATAATATTTTTTTTAAATTAACTGGTCTTAATGATGTCAGTTTTCCTCATTCATGCACATAAGTGAAAGCCAGTTCAAACATTTTAGTGCCATTTTACTACGTAGCTGATTATTACTTTTATTTCTTTCTCGATTCTGGAAGAAGTAAAACTTGTTGACGAGAATTATTCCCCTTAAAAAGTTTTAAAACTGTCCAACTGTGATTCGCATTTATAATATTAATTTTGGAATGTGCTGATATCGTGGGTTAAAATAGGCAAATTGGGAATTTTAAATGCAATTAAATCGTCAAAATCGTTCAATATTCATTAAAAAAATATTTAAAACATGATGCCTCTATAAGAGTGAGTCTCCTAGAAACGTGAGGCCCCCTACAAGCGTGAGGCCCCCTACAAGCGTGAGGCCCCTACAAGCGTGAGGCCCCCTACAAGCGTGAGGCCCCCTACAAGCGTGATGCCCCCTACAAGTGTGAGGCCCCCTACAAGCGTGGGGCCCTGACCCAGTACCCACTGGGCCCATGCCTTAAGACGGCGCTGAGCACAGGGGAAAAAACTATTCTCCAAATTTACGTATAACTGACTACTTTACTCTGAATAAGAGCATTTGAAAGGATGTCGAGTGGAGAGATCAAAGTGATATTCACACATTTGTGACACGGCTGCTATTACACTAAAATAAAAAAAGAAATCAGAAAACTTTTTCACAAAATTGTTTTCCACCAAGGAGATGAACGTATTAATAATAAATTATTTACCATGAAAATTAAAATTTTGAAATAAAACTTTTGTTCTCTAATTTGTTTATTAACGCTATATTATAGCTTTCGATTGTCTGTGTGTTGCCTGGAAAAATCGTTTAACTTAATGTTTGACCTGTTCCTTTCGTCTGATGGAGTTGACATTTTTGCATGGTGGCTCAATCCATATAATAATATGACCCTTCGTGATCTGTAGGTCAGCACTGACCTCAACTGACAATTGAGTGACTTCTGGGGGTCTAGTCTTGCATCTCATCTTTGACCCACATTCTTAAGTCCAATCGAACAGAAACATTTGTACACATCCCACACAATATTGCAATACAACCCGGCAATAAGTGATGATAAATCACTTAAAACAAAGGTTCAACAGTGCAAAAAAAATTTTTAAAAAAATAAAACTCGCTTTTATTAAAATGCCCTTAATAATACCACACAAAAATTGTTTTTTTTTTTGAGAACCACCAGGCTTTTCTTAAGATTAGTCATGTCAAACAGCCATGACAGTATTTATTGATCTTTTAAGATTTTGGCACCCGTTGCTGTTGACGCCCTGGTTTGGTTTCACCCTTAGCACCTCTCCTAGAAACTTGATACATTTTCTGGTCCACCAGTGCTTTAATCAAAACGTGGCATGTGTAAAAAAAATATTTTAAAAAAAAACCAGCCAAGTCTGGCCAGTCCAGTTTTGTGACGCTGTAGCCTACGCCTATCTCCTACTTCCTGGGACCGATATAAAACATGTCAATAAGAAATCTACCTCTGGAGGAATCTAAAAATACATATGTACGATCATGAATGCGTCTCTATCAGCCACGCCCCCCAGCCCCTTCCATTTTTTGGTCCCAACTTTATCTAAGTACCGAAATAAAAATTGAATGCGGATGTTAAGAACATTCTGGCAGGTTTATAAAGTTACCGAAAGCCCGTGCCATCTTGTTACGGGACTAGGACTGCTCCATCGGCCACAAGTTGACGGTCAACAAAAATCTGGTGAGTTCCTGCTTTTGTTTTTCTGCTAAATGATTACAAAATAATTTCATTACTTTCTAAACATTAATGCTTTAAACATTCGAAGTTATTATTTAATTATAAAAATTGAAATGAAAAGAAAAATTAAAATGATTTCTATCCCAAAATGTATCGTACTTTACAAATAACCTCAACATGTTTACCTCTTCTTATATTGTTAATGCTCTTTTTAAAAGTAAACTGAGTTCTTAGTTCGTCGGTCGAAGATAGATCAGACCATTTTGAACATCGGATTGGTGTTGGGGCTCAATTCTCACATAATTTAAGATATTAAAATTCACACACATTGTTTGGTGTTTTTTTAATACATTCTTCTTGAAACACCATTTGTTGAATACAGGGGCGCCTACACCCCACCCCCACGGGTAGAAACCAAGCCCCCTTCTCCCATTTAGACTTACCAGGTTTCATAGTTACATAAAATAAAAATATTTTATTGTAATTTTAAAGAGACCAGACTCGAATTAACATTAGTATTTTGCTAAGACCAAATGAACACGATCCACAGATGTAGTTGAATAATGTTGACAATTCAGATGCAAGAAAATGTTTTCTGTTAGTTTGATTGATGGCTGCATCACAAGATGTATTTATTGTTGTTTATAGTTTCCAAATCTTTCTCATTGGTGCTGAAAGTGTTGACATCTTTGTTGAACACACAAGACTAAACAATCAATTGCAAAAAACACGGGTTAATGATCAAGTTTATATGTATTTGTTGTGCATATACATGTGTTCTTGTTTTGTTGTTACACAGATGTTCTTTATTATTACATAAATGTATGTTATTTTAATGTCACGATTATGTCTCCTTTGCTAATATTTTTATGTACAGCGTGGTTAGCCCAGCACTAGGTTGGGGTACCGCGCTATGTAAGACCACTAATAATAATAATAATAATATTTTAATAAAGTGATGCTATTAGACATGTGAGAAGAATGGAATGATGCTAGTCTTCTAACCCTGTAGGCCACATGGCACACTTCTTTTACCATATAAATGTTAAGGCTGACCCTTTTTTAGTCATCAACTTTTACATTGAAATAAAAATTTCTGTTCATTATTATAATTTTTTTAAAAATATGTATTTGGCTGTTACCCATATCAACATGTAATCATAAATTGAACTATTCATCCTGTAGCATGCAAAGGGAAACTACTGTTAATTTTAAAGATTTTTTTTTTGGGGGGGGGGTTGTGGTTGGGTGGGGGGTTGTGGTGGGATACATTCCATATATTGATAATTTCTTACAGTTAGATAACGAATCATTTGACCTCATTATTGGTGGAGACGGGGGGGGGGGGGGGGGTGGGGGGGGGGGGGGGAGAGCTAATCAAGTGACATTAGGGCGTAGTCACCCTACTGCTCCTTGAACCAGACCCAAACAATTTTATTTTTAGTTCGATTCTATATGCGACCCAAATGTAATACTAATCTATCATATTATCTGGTCCACAAAACGTATGACCTCTGACCTATGAAACCCGTGCACAGACTAAACTTTTTAAAAATCAAATACACTGTAAACCTTCTTTTGAAACATTCCAGTTCTAATGATCTAAAAAATCTAACTGAAAATATTATTAAACCTCTTTGGTGAATGTGTTAATTTATACACATTATTTCAATTACATCTTTTACATCTCCATTTTTGTAACAATATAAAACATTTTTTTAAACCGTTCACTCAATTGACTTAAATATTAAAAATTAAAAAGAAACTATTTCCAAATTTGAGTACCAAAATTTCCCTATATAGTCGGGCATAGGTCACTCCAGTGCATACGTCAAATACGTGGTTACGTCTCGTAAGTGGCTATGTCACACTAGTGGATAGGTTGCACCACTGGATAGGTCAGAGTCTTATGAGATTGGGGTTGTCACATGGGGTATTTGAGGTTGACCCTTAGATTTGTCCCACTTTTATTTCGGGGAGTTCACATGATAATTTCTTCATAGATGTAATGAAAGTCCTTGAGAATACATCACAAACCTGTTGTCATAACAATGTGAAACTGAAATTAAATCGTCACAGACTAATGATTCTTTAATGAACAGTGAACAAAAGACAGCCCTCCGCTCAAATGTAAGGTGAGAGTAAGGGAGAAAACAATGTTCCAACTTTTTGTATAAACGACAACTCCACACTGAATTAACGTACGTCAAATCGCTGTCCAGTGGGTAGATCACTCACGAGAACTTTATCGCAGATTGTGTTAAACAAATTGCGACCTGTACGCAAATATACGGTAGATAATATCAAATATCCACATCCAGTGGCGTAGCTAGGCTTAATGACTTCTGGGGGTTCGGGAGAGAGAATTTTGAGACCCCTTTCCACGAGAATATTCAGGGGGCCGTAAAATTTGGCTCCTCAGTAAAAAGATAAAAATGTCTGCCCGGGGCCGACGACCCCTCAACATCCCACCCTCCTACGCCACTGCATTCATCAGAGTGGCAGTCCTGGATTGAAAGATGGGATTAAAAAGACATTATAAATTCACATGACTGGATGTGCAATTCTAATGCACCAGGAACAGAACGTCATTTTTTGTGTAGGTTTTCTTGAAGTCAAATAAAAATTTTAAAGTGATTCTTACAAAATAAAATTTATATCTAAGGGTAATTTCTCTACGGGGTAACTTCTATGCCATTTTCTTATTTATGTCTGTCTTGTTTTGACGAAGTTCCCTCATCATTTTGTAACGATTATATGAATCTCCAATAAAATCTTTTAAGAGAAAGAAGAAGGAGAAAACAAAAATTAAGAATAAATAAAATAACATAGAAGTTACTTCGTAGCGAAATTACCCCAAGTTAAACAATTCATTGACTTTTCTATATTTTATTATTAATATTTGTGTTGGCTATAAACGGCAAAATGGCTTCCATAAACGTTCAACTGCTCCTTAAGTCTTAAATTATCTATCGGCATTTAAAAAAAAGACGCGTGCACAGCCAGGCATTACTATTACTGACGCAAGTGACGTAAGTGATAGGAGGAAAATATTTATATACAAGGAGAGAAACACGCAGTTTGTTCAAACAAACATGACGAACAAACATTGAAAGTCTGATGAATGAAACTGTCACACACAGGCGGTGTGATGTCATTGGGTGGCAGCGTTGTACTGGTGTGTACGGTACAGGGGAGGGCGGACAGCACCACCACCAAACGTGGGCCGTGTGGCACCCGTTATCGCTCAGGGTGTCACACGTGTTTGTGTACAGTTTTGTTTGAGAATAGACTTGGATAGGTTAGATTGCAACTGGGGGAGTAAGGACTTGAGCTGCGTAGTTGATGGTTGATGGTTGCACATGTGATGGTTGATGGCTGCATCGTTGATGGTTGATTTTGGTGTTCATGGATGTTATTAGACGTGGATGAATTTGTTTTTATGTTTTTTGCAGTGGGTTTGGTTGATATGTGTAAAATTATGATAGATGGGGTAGTTGATTGGCGTTACCTTATCAGAGTGGGTGGGATTGTGGATGCTATATTTATGACAGTGGGCGTGGTTGATGAGTATGACCTCATTACAGTGGGCGTGGTTGATGAGTGTGACCTCCTGACAGTGGACGTGGTTGATGAGTGTGACCTCATTACAGTGGGCGTGGTTGATGAGTGTGACCTCCTGACAGTGGGCATGGTTGATGAGTGTGACCTCATTACAGTGGGCGTGGTTGATGAGTGTGACCTCCTGACAGTGGACGTGGTTGATGAGTGTGACCTACTGACAGTGGGCGTGGTTGATGAATGTTACCTCATGCCAGTGGGAGTGGTTAATGGGTGTTTACATTATGACTTCAGGTGCTATTTGTGGAGGTTTTATTTATGGCAGTGGGCGTGGTTAATGAGTATTAAACTTTGGAAGTGAGCTTGATTGACGACAACTTTTATTTGACAGTGGGCGTGGTTGATGGAGGCTATATTTAGGTCAGTAGGCGTGGTTTATAAAGGTTACAGTAATGGAAGTTGATAGGGTCGATAGTTGTAATTAATGTGTTTGTAGGTTATTGATTGGTTCAATTTTGATTTGATATGCTTTTATCAAGAAGTGGAATTTGTATGCTTTTTAGCGTGGTTGATAAGCTGTTATAGACAACTTAACGTGTTTGATTGATTAGACATCGACCAATAACCGGTCTTATGATAATAATGCCATGCAATAATTTATTGTTTCATAGCTAATCCATTATAGAACAGCACTCTATGTACCTCATTTATTCGACAGCGTAAAGACAAGACCACGAACTGTCACAATTTTTACAAGCATGGGGCTTAAGGTAGTTTGGGCACTGGCTATTTTTGTTCTCAGCTGGTCATCCCAATGTCAAGGTAATCTAGCAATTAAAAGATTGTTTTTTTTTAAAAATAATACAATATTCTAAAAATATGTATAGCAGATTATGTGTGTTTATCTTGGTAATTAAAGTTCTTTCTTTTTAGAATAACTGAACAAGATTATATGTTTCCAATGAAAAATAAAGCTTAAGACCTTAAACATATAAGTAAAACCAGCGATTCTCAAACTGTGGCACGTGTTTTACTCGCGTACAATTAACATAATCCTCGATGATCAACGTAGGTGTATCGAGTATCGATATGACGTATCAAGTACAAGTGAATAAATACGTCAACGGCTTAGCACGTATTTTTTAGTAGATATTTTAAGACGCATATAATCTAATAGTTTCATCTCATAGTCCCCTGAGTTAAACAATCGTTCGTTCGATGTAAGAAAAAGAACTGAACTAAAACCATAGATTGTCTCAACGGTTCCCAAAATGTTAAAACGTTTGCTAATGTGTCAAAAATTAAAAGCTTCTTTGGGGAAATTGTTTATCGGTCGTCTAAATTTAAAAGTAACACATATCGAATGACAGGAACACACCGAGAACAAAAGTGTATGGGTGTGTGTGTGGGGGGGGGGCATACATTTCCTAACTAATTTAAGCGAAAACGTTACTATAGCAAACTCCCCCACCCCCACCCCCTTTCATAAGACTTGTATTAAATTGTTCGTGTTTATTGATGCGTTAAGATTGTATTGATTCTATTTATAGTAACATGACGTACGTCTTTTAAATAAGTTGTAGTCTTCAGAAATCAGAAATGTTTAGTGGGCTGTCATATAAACATCTATAGATAATTACGTTGTGGAGGGCACGGGGCTAGGTCGGAACACGTCACGGTATTAGAATTAAATAGATTGCCAATGATGACCTTAACCTTGGTTCCATTCGCTGTGTAGGCATTCTAGATCGTATAACATATGTCAGCCTGGACAGTGGTGAAGGGACGTGGACAAATGCCGGACGTGTGGTCGTCCAGCTGAACGGTGAACAGGTGAACGGTTCGATCTGTGACAGTGATTGGAAAAATGAGGACGCCGCTGTTGTCTGCAGGATGTTGGGATATGGGTAGGTATCAAAGATAATAAATGTTGGGATATGGGTAGGTATCAAAGATAATAAATGTTGGGATACGGGTAGGTATCAAAGATAATAAATGTTGGGATATGGGTAGGTATCAAAGATAATAAATGTTGGGATTTGGGTAGGTATCAAAGATAATAAATGTTGGGGTATTAGTTGACGTCAAAGATATTAGATATTTGGATATGGGTAGGTATAAAAGATTGTAGATATTGGGATATGTGTAGGTACCAAAGATACTAGATGTTGGGAGATGATTAGGAATACAAAAAATTAGATGTTGGGATATTGGTTGGTATCAAAGATAATAAATGTTGGGATATGTTTAGGTATCAAATATATTAAATTTTTGGATATGTGTAGGTATCAAGTATCAAAGATAGTAGATGTTGGGATATGGGTAGGTATAAATGTTGAATAAGTACGGGTATAAATATAATGTTAAATGACACTCTGGATCAGAGCTTCCCAAAATGTTGATTATAATATACCCTTACCACTATCCAATTTCGAAGAAAACCAATTCTCCTTAACCCACAACTTATTCCCGTTCTATATTCCCCTATGACAAAAATGTTCAATAAATTCACTGACGTGTCTCATCTCTCTGTTCACACAGTGGGGGCAGTGCCGCCCAAGTCAAGTACAAAGCGGGCAACCACAACTATCTCATTAGTAACATCAAGTGTACAGGAACGGAAGGAGGACTTGGGGATTGCGGTAGAGATCCCGTGGTCAACTGTGGCGCCCAGGTAAGCTATTGCGTCATCGGGAATCACTCTCCTGGTGAATTGTCTGGTAACAGTTATTCAATATGTAGCAACCATTGGTCTTTACGTACGTTCGGTTATACCGTGGCTGCTGAGGTTTAGCAATGTTGTCGTGGTTAAAGTTTTGTTAACATCGAGTAAACAGAACCGAGAGAATTCATTCAGCTTCTTCTTTTGACTCACGAATAACACGTTTAGCAATCATCACCTTTAGCACTCATCCCGTTTAGCTCACATCACGTGCAGCACTGGTCTCATCGTGGGCAGAGAATATCCTGACCGTGTGACACGGGCTTTAAGACTCCGTCTAAGACAGTGTTTACTGAATGATGAAAGTTTTTCCATGTTTCCAACAGGACCCCGAGGTGGGAGTCATGTGCCAGAACCCGACTCCTAGCGCCGTGCACGAATTCAAGGTGGATTATTTCGTCCACCAAAGGCAAGCCCCACCCGCCCATGAAGATGTCAGGGAGACAACCATTAACGGATCTTGTGAGTATGAGACGTGACGTCATTTCAAAACTGTGATGTCAGATGTGTAAACGCATAAGTAACACGAAGTCAACGGTCGTAAAAAATATCCCTGCTTGAAACTTGAAACATTGCTTTACTGACAGGCTCTTCTTGACTGACAGGCTCTGCTGTACTGACAGGCTCTGCTGGACTGACAGGCTCTGTTGGACTGACAGGCTCTGCTGGACTGACAGGCTCTGCTTAACTGACATGCTCTGCTTGACTGACAGGCCCTGATTGACTGACAGGCCCTGCTTGACTGACAGGCTCCGCTTGACTGAGAGGTTCTGCTTGACTGACATGCTCTGCTTGACTGATAGGCTCTGCTTGATCGGTAAGCTCTGCTTCACTGAGAGGCACTGCTTGACTGAAAGGTTTCGCCCAATTCGTTTCATCCTATGGTACCCTTGTACCAAAGGCGACACCATCTTCGTTGTGATCTAAATCTTCCCGAGGCAGCGTGATAAACAATTTGGGACACTTTGTAAGAAAAAACGAAGTTTAATTAAATATTAGAGTTGGCATGTTTTGTTTTGGCAACATGGTTCAGGGACATTTGGAAGACACAATGTAGAAAGATTTTCTAAATATCTAAGAAAGACACACTGACACACGTTTGCCTTTCAGGCCCTGGACAGGAGGTCAACAACAGAATCCGACTCCACGGCGTGGAGGGTAAGCCCGGTATGGGCTATGTCCAGGTCAATGTCGACGGAAACTGGCAGTACATTTGTGACGACAGGTGGAATGAGAAGGACGCTGAAGTCGTCTGCAGAGAGCTCTGTTTTTACAGGTAATACTTTCGTGTTCCGCATTGAACTTTGTCACTCAGGCGTAACTATTAATGTTGAGATAAATGAGTATAGGGTTGTCTCCAAGAACAGTATGATTTTACATAACATGAATATAAAATAAGTGTTAAGCCATTCGTGTGTACCACAGCACGGAAATGTTGTAGGTAAGCAAATAAAGCAGTTAAAATGTTAAAATAGTGTTTTAGAGTGTAAAGTAATTAAAAATAATGTTTGTGAGATAATTAAAGATAAATGTGTTTTTAATAATCGCTATTTAAAAATAAAATGTTTCCATCAATAAAATTTTTTAGACTACGCATTAGGTCTATTGCCATTATTCTAGTGTAATCAATGCAAACTTATTAAGGTATGGGTTTCTCTTTTGAATTCACGCACAAAAATAAGTAGCAGGAGGAGGCAAAACATTTACTCCATTATTACACAGGTTTGGCCCATTATTACACATACATATTTACACATGAAGGATAACACATGTATAATGGCACAGATTTTCGAAAGGCAATTTTTTTTCCTAGGTAAAACCACCCTACATTTTATGTTTAATCAAGACCACATTGTTGCCCTACAGCATTGGTCTAGGCACCCAGGTATGCCCACGGCCTAGTGTGGAATTTGGGTTCACACCGCCAGTGAATGACTCTTTTAAAATTGCTTGGGACAATGTCCAGTGCAATGGATCCGAGGACTCCATCTTCAAGTGCCAGAAAACAACAGGAATGTCGAGGTCATGTGCCAAGAGTGAGATCGCTGGAGTCCAGTGTCTTGCCCTACAAGAACAGGACGCTCGTGAGTTTAAAATAGATTTTTTATTATTTAAATTGTTTAAAATGTGAATAGGACGATTTCAGAAACTCTTGGTCTTTCTTAAAGATACTGAATTAAAAATTATCTTAATTCCATATTTTGACTATATTACCCCACACTCACTGACTAATTCTTACCACACTCGCTGACCAATTTTCCTACCCCACCCACCGAATATTTCTTACTTCACCAGTTGACTAATTCTTAACCCAACCCTGTGACTAATTCTTACTCCAACCTTCTGACTATTTCTTACCCTTCTCGCTGACTAATTCTTACCCCCACCCGCTGTTCTAAAACCATCCCATTTCTACAGGAATGGAAGCACGACTGACTTGCTTTAACTTCAATGGCGACCTTGTTGTCAACTTCCCCATGGAGGACTTCCCGGGTATCTCTGCCAGAAACTTGAGAATCGTTAACCAGTCCGTCTGTGATATCAGCAGCATAACCCGGAATTCCGCCAATCCCGGCATCGACCTAGTCATACCCCACAAGGCATGCGGCACCCGGATCTCAGTAAGTACTTTCGCAGAATCTTCATATTTTAAAACCGGATGGATATTTCCTGTATTCAGGTAACATAAATATCCATCGATGGATTCCTTCCCACACATTCTACAAATATCCATCGAGGGATTCCTTCCCACACATTCTACAAATATCCATCGATGGATTCCTTCCCACACATTCTACAAATATCCATCGATGGATTCCTTCCCACACATTCTACAAATATCCATCGATGGATTCCTTCCCACACATTCTACAAATATCCATCGATGGATTCCTCCCCACACATTCCACAAATATCTCTTTCTCACCCTTAAATAGAAAAAATTTTGTCAATTAATTTTTTTAAAATTAAAAGGTCAGTGTTACGGTAGTGTGATACAATTTTATAAAATAAAGCACACACAAAAATTGTTCAGCCAAGCGTTATTAATTTTGTTTGACATTTGTACAACAAGGACACGTGACCATCTTGACCTGGGAGCAGCGGAGAACGTTTAGCATGATCAGGTTTAGTCCCCCCCCCCAACCCCCACCAGCTGGGCGGGCCAAGAATCCCCACCTGCCACGAAAAAACTCGACAGTTGTCCGAAAATACATCTCCTCCAAATAAAGAAATACAATTCCGCAAGGGATGGACCCCCCTCCTTAAGCCACTCCATACGCTACGTATTCCAATAAACCTTAGGTGAATTAAGACAAAAAAAATCGAATCTTGATCCGTGTATTGTGATTCCACTGCCTGTCATTAAGCCGTCACAACCAGGAATGTCTAGAGAGTTTCTACCTGCCCCACCCCTTGCAACGTTACCAAACATGTCTAAAATGTATCTTTGCTCCACTCAAAGTCTTACGTAGTCATATAAAACATAAATCAAAGACTCCTATCAATAAATATGTGGATCAAAATTCCAAAAGGAAAAGAATTTATGAAATAAGCGACCGAATTTATGCTTCAGATTTTTAGTAATTCTTAAATACCTGGACGAAATTTGAATTCGTTTGCAATGTTTGGATTAGAAATGTTTGGAGAAATTATATTTTAAAAATGTCATGCTTCAAGTAATAAATTGTAAAATGACTTCAATCACTATCAACAATAATTTTATTGACAAGTCAATAACAGCACAATAATTTCATGTAATAAGCTGTAATAATACTTCTATCAATATCAACACCATTTTACGTCACAGGTCAATAACAACACACACCTGTGCTACCAAAACGTAGTTGAGTATGACAACGAGATCTACAAGCAGGATGTGCTGTTGGAGTTCAAGAAAAAGACGTAAGTCACAACTGGTCAAGCTCTTTAGTTATAATGATTATCTTCCTTTACATGTCTATCATGTCATCTTATCACAAATGGCCGAGCACTATAGTTATCATTATCATCAATATTTACATACCCAAACTGTCGTCTTATACCAAACTGGTCAAGCACTATAGTAACAATGGTCATCTCTCTTTACATACCCACCCTTAGTTTTTATAGATAAGTTTAGGACTATGATAGTGGTTATCTCTATTCCATTGCGAGTATCACAGTTTCAAATCCTCATGGTGTCCCTAACACTGTCCCAATAGTTCTAAACATCATCATCACCAAAGCATAATTGCTCTTCATAATATTTTAATATCAGTAATGCTATCTTATGTCATTTGCCAGCTTTGATTGTGTATATTATGATTCGCTCTTCAGTTATTGTTTCCTTCCAGAGATTCACACTAGAATGTAGCCTTTTGTTTTCTTCCAAAGATTCACATTAGAATATGGCATATTATTATTATTTTCTTTCAAAGATTCACATTAGAATGGTGCATATTGTTTTCTTTCAAAGATTCACAGTAGAATGGTGCATATTGTTTTCTTTCAAAGATTCACAGTAGAATGGTGCATATTGTTTTTCTCTATAGGTTCACAGTTGAATGTTGCATGCCTCACGAAAAAGACGTCAGCATTAAATTCGTACCACAGACAGCAGAAAGCGCCACCAAAATCATCCGTACTTTCGACTACATGGTAAGTTATACACTAAACCACATCTATAGTTATATTGATACCTTCGACTACATGGTAAGTTATACACTAAACCACATCTATAGTTATATTGACAACTTCGACTACATTGTAATTTATACACTAAACAACATCTATAGTTATATTGACACCTTCGACTACATGGTAAGTTATACACTAAACCACATCTATAGTTATATTGACACCTTCGACTACATGGTAAGTTATAAACTAAACCACATCTATAGTTATATTGACACCTTCGACTACATTGTAATTTATACACTAAACCACATCTATAGTTATATTGACACCTTCGACTACATGGTAAGTTATACACTAAACCACATCTATAGTTATATTGACACCTTCGACTACATGGTAAGTTATACACTAAACCACATCTATAGTTATATTGACAACTTCGACTACATTGTAAGTTATATACACTATACCACTTCTATAGTTATATTGACATAGGTAATATTCAATCAAAGTTTCATTAACCTTATAAATGTATTAGAGTGACATGTGATTATTTCAGTCCAAATAATTCACTTTATCTTATCAGATTATGAAGACGCCTGGTAAAATTAAAATAATTTCATTATATCCCAGCTTGAAATCTGCTACTTAGATAAAAAATAATTTCATTAGGCCTATATCACAATTTGAAAACAGCTTCTTAAATAAAATCATTTCATTATACCCTAGCCTAAAATCAGATTTTAAAATAATGTCGGTTCATAATCCATCAGCCTGAAATCAGCTTCTAAAATAAAAAACTAATCTCCTCCCAGCCTGAAATCAGCTTCTACGAGAACGAGCAGTGTGACAGGAAGATCACCGCCAACCCGTACTCCGTGGAGGTCGGCAAGTGGGTATACATTGGTATCAAGGTCACGGCCGAGTCCAGCTCCCTGTTCACGGATGACGACATGAAGCTCGTGATCACCGGCTGCACGGTCAACCCGGTCGGCAACGGCACAAGTCCTCCCAACGTGCCACACATGACACTCATTGAAAACAAGTACGTCCTTCCATTTGGTTGGCATTGTTATTGGAAGAAAAAAGCAATGATAAAAATGGAAAGGATAAAAATGACAATGATAAAAGTGATAATATAAATTGAAGCATTTTTATTTTAAGTTTCTAATTTTAAAAGTATTCTTTTATATTCTTATATTGTGTGTACATAGCTTTTAGTTTGATATATTATTGTGTAACTCAGCTTTAGGATTGAATCTTCAAGCTAAATAGTCATACGCCCATATATATATATACTACTTTAAAGCCTACTTAATATAAAAACATACATCCATATTATACATGAGATATTTTCATGATATAATACAGCGGTGAACATAACATTTGAAAATTTGGTGACGTTTTAAAGAGATGCTTTCTTGCAAGATATGGCATCCATTGATCTGAGTAATGCTCCTCAAAATCATCCTTGCCAAACCCCAAATTATTTGGGCCAATATTACTGCCTCACAGCCCGAGGTGTCAGAGAATTATATTTGAACTTCCTTCATTCCCCCGAAACATTTTTATTTGCAGGTGTCCAGCAGACTTTGACAGTGTCACCACCTACCCCATCAGCAACACCACTGAAGGGTTTCGCTTCAGGGCTTTCAAGTTCTTCGGCTACTCCTCTGTCTACGTCTCATGCCACCTTCGTGTTTGCCTGATTACAGACCCCAAACCACAGTGTGATCGGTAGGGTGTCTTGAGAATAGTTTAACTTATAGATTTGTTTACAAAGCACGGTTTGATCAGTAGGATGTCTTGAGAATAGTTTTACTTAGAAATAGGTTTAAAGCTGCATAGCCTTTAATGGTAACGTAGTCAAAACTCCAAAGATTGTTGGATGAAGTTAAGCAACATTGACAAAAACATTGGAGGCAAATCAATACAAATTATGTTTTGGAAGAGCATGTGAAAGGAAATAATATTTCAAATCAATTTTTAAAAATACATTACAGAGAAATTAATAAGTTAAAATCAATTAAGAAAACAATTTTATGCAAATACCCCCATCGACCGATTATTAAAAATGTATAGTCATTGATCCTGAGTGGAATAGTTCTTCAATCATTAGCCGAGAAATACAACATCTTTCTTAGTCACATTTTGGGCGTCTGTGGTATCTGAATCATTTCTGGGCCAAATTACTTGACCATGACTCTATTTCTGTAAAAGCACAGTAGGAAAAAAAAAGTTATTAATAGGTCATTAATCAACTATAAAGTGTCGACAGTGAGTTAAACATTCTATAATCCCACAGATCCTGCATTCCCGCTGTCCCTGGACGTCGTCGCAGACGTGACATTGCCAACAACGTGATGGGACTGGACAATGTCATCTCCAAGACTCTGTACATTGTCGATCCCAAAGACCAACAGCAATAAGCAGCGCCTGGCTCAGTCAACTCGTGAAATCAAGGAATGCAGCAGTTACGCTATAACTTATTTAAACTATTCACAAAGCTATCAAAATTTGACTACACAAAAATTAGGCTGAATTTTTAGGGGAAGAAACACACAATTTATTTAAATGAAAATTATTTTCTATAAACTTTTATGATGACGGTAGAATTTGATTGCAATAATTTTGATAAATAGAAAAAAAATGGGATTTCATTATTTAAATCATCATGATTGGTCGTTGTTGTCAATTAAGAACAAATAAAATAATTGCCAAATTGCATTCTAATTTGTTAGTTAGTTATTTAGATTCCAAAGACCTTTATTTATTTATTTTTTGTCTTAAGAAATCTCTTGTGGGTGGTTTTATTTGCACTTTTAAAATATTCATGCTTTACATGCAAAATTTTTATTAAAATGTTTGAATCTTTAATTTATTGGTGGAAACTTTTTTTTAAAATGGGAATTGCATAAGGTGTTTCTTGGAAACCCAAATTCGGAGAGTATGATTTGAAGAGTATGATTAATTGATGAGTATGATCAATTAAAGAGTATGATTTTGAAGAGTATGATGAATTGAAGAGTATGATTTGAAGCGTATGATTAATTGAAGAGTATGATTTGAAATGTATGACTTAAAAATATAATTTGAAGCGAACGATTTGAAGAGTATGATTTGAAGAGTATGATTTGAAGATCATGTTGTCAATGGTACGATTTTAAAAGGTGGCTGTTTAGCTATTTATTTAAAATCGGAAAATACTTTCCACACAAACACACACACACACACACACAAAGAAGAAAGAAAAAAATAATTAAAGAGCTAAATAGTTTAACAGGAAGCGTTAAAAATAAAAATTTAACTTAACTACTGGCCAACACATTGGGTGCACATAAAATGTCCAGGAAATACACATGGCACAGCCCCAATGGAAACACCACAACCAGATTGACTACATCATTTTGTAAACACGCTTCTGGTCTAGTATAAACATTGCCAAGACTCGTAGCTTCCCTGGAGCTGGCAACGGAAGCGACCACGACCTAGACATGATGACCTTTAGACTGCACTTAAAGAGGGTAAACAAAACAGGAAATACCAGAATCAAATTCGACATTGAAAAGCTGAAGGAACCCAAAGTAGCAGAATCCATTCCATCCAAGCAATAATAGGAGGAAAATTTGCAGCGCTTAGCATCATAGATGCTGACAGGTTAGACACGGACACATTGATTGATAACTTCAACACAGCTGGGACAGACACAGCTCACGACATCCTTGGTAAACATCGACCAACCTGAAAACCATTGTTGACAGCTGACACACTTGATCTGTGTGATAAACGAAGGCAGTTAAAGAAAACAAAAATGGTAGATACAGAGGGGGCCATTAAATATAGGACAATTAACCAAGCCATCAACAAAGGTATGAGGAGGGCAAAGAAGAACTGGATTGAAGAGCAATGCTACGACATTGAAAACTGCTTGATGAAAAACAATAGGAAAAAAGCTTACCAGTTGGTGAAAGAACTAACCACTGCAAAACAAGGGCGTATTACTATACAGGAAAAACATGGTCATTTTATGACCGAAGAAAATAATATCATCAAACGATGGTCTGAATACTGTTCAGAGCTTTATAATGAAAGTATAAAGATAGACCCAGAGATCCTTAATGTCCCTCCAGCAACAGACAATGATAACTACCCTATTCTCCGCACAGAAGTAGAAGCAGCAATCCAGGCATTCCAAACAGGAAAGGCCGCAGAAGTGGATAATATCCCTGCCAGTTGGTGAAACAAGGAGGACAAGCAATGATAAGTGTCCTATTCAATATTTGTAACAGAATCTGGTTTACAGGAGAATGGCCCAAACCATGGGCCCAATCGCTCATCGGCACCCTCCCCAAAAAAGGTAACCTACAGCTATGCCAAGACTATCGCACCATTAGCCTAATAAGCCATCCAAGCAAGGTCATGCTGAAGGTCATATTGAACCGATTAAAACCATATTCCGACAGAGTCACTGATTAAGAACAGGCGGGCTTCAGACAAGGACGGGGCACTACTGAGCAGATTCTCAACCTCCGAATACTGTGTGAGAAATATGCTTAACACCAACAAAACCTATACCACGTCTTTGTGGACTTCAAGAAAGCATTTGACAGGGTTTGGCATGCTGCTTTATGGGCAACCATGATGCACTACAATATCAACACAAACCTATATGCAACCTTTATAATAAGGCCACCAGTGCAGTCTTCCTCAACAACAACATCGGAGAATGGTTCAAGACCACGGTTGGAGTACGACAAGACTGCCTGCTCTCCCCCATCCTATTCAACATCTTCCTAGAGAGAATTATATCAGATGCTCTGGAAGCGCATGAAGGAACAGTCAGCATTGGTGGCAGAACAATCACCAACCTACGCTTTGCGGACGACATAGACGTGCTGGCTGGGAACGAAGAAGAGCTAGCCGGCCTGGTAAAGCGTCTCGATAAGACCTCGTCGTCCTACGGCATGCCAATCAGTGCCGAAAAGATAAAACTGATGACAAATAATACCGCAGGCATCGCCACTGAAATTAAGGTTGGGGAGAATAGATTAGAGAATGTCGGCCACTTCAAATACCTAGGAGCAATAGTCTCAGAAGAAGGCTCCAAGCCCGAAATGATGTCCAGGATTGCGCAGACTACAACAGAACTAAAAAAGCTCAAGAAAATATGGAATGACAAAAATATAGCCCCCAGCACCAAAATCAGGCTGTTGTGCTCATTAGTCCTCTCCATTTTCCTGTATGCCTGCGAATCCTGGACATTAACAGCCGATCTTGAAAAGGAAAATAAAGGCGATGGAGATGAGATGCTTCAGTAGCATTTTTGGCATCTGCTATAGAGACCATATCTCCAATAATTCACTGAAAGAAAGGGTTTACAGGCTATTGGGGAGTACGATGACCTACTGGTGACTGTGAAAAAACGCAAACTACAATGGTACGGCCACGTAACAAGCTAACAAGGGCTTGCCAAAGAAATATTGCAGGGCACTACAAGAGGAGAGAGAAGAAGAGGAAGACAAAGAAAAAGATGGGAGGATAACATCAAAGAGTGGACAGGACTAACACTGGGCGATGCGGTGCGTAGTGCTGAAGACAGAGAGGACTGGAGGAGGATAGTTCACATGTCATCTGTGGCGCCCCAACTGTCCAAGGAGTAAGGGACATGAGGATGATGAAAATTGCTTTGAAACTGAGATGATTTAATGCATAAAGAAGAATTTTGCTATTTTGACAATAGTTCTGTCGGCACTTTATGCTTCTTTATTTATATAAATTTATAAAATTGAATATGACGCCTTTGAGACATTCTGATCGTAAATATAGGCCAGCTAGAACTAATCTATCCGCCCTTCATTCCCCAAGTACGCCGAGATCATCTCAGCGGCCGGCCATTTAAAAAGAAAATAGAAATGAAGAAAATAGGAACATTTGCCGACCCTTGTCAGAAATGAGTTGCCATCCGAGGTTAGCAAGAAACATCTACCCGGGGTGACGCTCGGCTCACCTTTGGTACAGGCAAAGCTAGCAGCTGCCTGGAGCTCTGAATTCCCAGCCCGTCATTATGATCTCAAACACAAGTTAAAATTCACTTACTTCCCTGAAATTATGTTTTTGATCAACTCTTCGGAAATATGCCTATTCCGTTTTTTTTTGGTTTTACAACAAACGTGTATGTCGTGTATAACAGCTATTCATTTAAAATGAAATATTTGGATATCCCAAAACAAATTTTGTTTAAAAAATTGATCAGTTTTAATACATTATCGGGATTTTAAAACTATAAATTTAGTTCAATGCTTAATAAATTTTGAATGACAGTAATAATTTAGATAATAAGGCCAATGGTTTACACGTCTGACCTAGAAGAAAAAAATATTAACTGGTAACATGATATTTTATATCTTGAGGCGTTTGGTCAAATGTGAAGGAAAGGCTGATCTCATGAACACTTCGCTCATTGTAAATTCAATTTGATGACGGTTCTTGTCACTGAACACAATTTCATTCTCAGCTCTCATTAAGGAAAATGGGTTGAAAACCCTTCGCATAACTGAGTATTACTCTAAAAGAAATGTGGAAGTTACAGTTCTTGTTATTAACTGCATACTAAATAAGACTTCAAAATCACTATTGATTCGGGGGGTCGGATAAACCGACTTTGCAGACCGTATCCGGCACACAGTTTTTCGACCCGTGGTTGTACAGAGAGGAAATCTCTGAATTCGAAACCCAAAGATGGAGTTCCGTATGCGCTATGGCATTAACTTAATGAAAATTCCGGCGACTCTCTCGACGCTCCTGGTGCCAAGCTGTATCATCCACACATGATGTTCCATTCGGTTCACCAGATTTTTGGAGCGAGTTCATTTGATGTCCGAGGAACCAGCCTTTCCTCCTGAATGAAAAATTCCAAGGCTTGCGATTTTGTGCCACAAGTATATATCGGATAAAGTTGAGAAATGGTGTTGAACAAAATCATGAAATGATTCTTCCACTTGTTGTACACACTCACACATGACATTTCAAGTCTTTTTAGTCATTAATCTTGAGATGTCTTAATGTTAAAGACATACGTCGCAATTGGCGTCTAAAGACATACGTCGCCGAGTGCGTCCAAAGACATACGTCGCCATTGGCGTCCAAAGACATACGTCGCCGAGTGCGTCCAAAGACATACAGCCAAGCTCACTGTAGTTCTTTTTATTCTTAAATTGTCCTACACAATTAAACAACCCCTAGAGCAAAGATTTGCGTATAAACCCTTTATAAAGTGTAATATTGAGCTATGGGGGGGGGGGGGGGCGGAAAATTTAACAAACACGCATAAAAGTAAGCCACTTTATTATACGAAAGAAATTAGAACCCCCCCCCCCCCCCCCTCCGGCTCGCAACAGCACATTTTTTTCACTACCCTGCACTATATCAATATTCAAACGTCCCACCCGCTTTCACACAGCAGATTCATTTGACCCACTGATTTCATAAAAACAAAAACAAAAAAATATGATGCACCAATTTGAAGCTGCGTTTTGTCATCCGCAACGAGTCTATGTACCAAGTTCAAGCTCGATAGGTTGATCGAAAGTTGGTCAATTAGCCATCCGAAGCTTTTTTTCCAGTACGCCATCTGTCCAGCCAGTCACGAAAAAAACCGAAGTTCAAATAAAGGATTGAGAAATGGGTTAGGGGAATAAAATTGAGACAGTATATAACATATTATGGTTTTATGGTTTTGTAATTTCACAGCTATATGCTAAACAACTCCAATGACCCCATGCTATGTTATGCATAATATGTCCGCGATGGTTTCAACAACTATTTACTCTACACTCTTTCGTCATTGTTTATGCGTCTGCTAATGAAACGTTGCTAAAGTTTTCTCCCTTTTTTCAATTTTGCCAATTTAACCTGATTACCAGATGAACTTATCAACTGGGGTTGAACATTAGTTTGAAGGTGCGTAAGGAATTTTTAGTATTCACCAAACTGGCTCAATGAAAGCGATATTCGCGTGATGCGAAACCCATACTTGATAGAGCCGTCTCGTTTTGTTTGGCAAACCATGTGTATGTGAATCACATCAGGAAGTTGTTGGAATTAAGATCATATCTCATTCAGGAAGCGAAGACATGATCAACATGTTGCTATTCCATTAAACGTGTCATATCGTACAATAAATCATAAATCATAGCTACGAGATAAACAACTTTGCTGGTCAGTTCATGGGGTACGCAATTAATGTCTGACTCAAACGGCTGCCTCGTATGGTTGGATTATACGGCTTTGTCATTTGATTGGATACTATTGCTGAGTCATACGGCTGTATCATTTTGCGGGATCATATTAGTTGGATGATATAGCTGGACCATAAGGGTTGCTCACACGGCTGGACCATATGGCTGCATTTTATGACTGGATAATATGGCTGGTCATAGGGTTAGATCTTATGGCTGGGTCATATGAGTACATCATTTGGCTGAATCATATGTCTGGATATTACGTTTGGGTCACATAGATGGGTGTATTATATATCTGGATCATATGGCCAGATTATTATTATATAAATATTTAATATTATTTATAATATTTAAACTTAATAGGAACAATGTTCATTTGTTAAAAATATACTGTAATTTTCTAGAGGTCTAAACACAATCTATCGCTACGATTAATATGTTGAGGTTTCTACTAAATCTACTCCTTCTGTAATTTTAAGAAGGTCTCCACTAAGTATAGTTCCTATAAATGTGAGGAGGTTTTAACTTAATATATATTTCATGTAAATTTGAGGAATCTTTATCTCCACTAAATATAACACTACTGTAATAACAAGAGGGTTTTCTCTAAATCTATCGGTACTGTAATTTTTAGGAGGTCTCCGCTAATTATATGTGTACCGTAAGTTTAAAGAGGAATCGTCCAATCTATACTGTATATTTCACATTTGCATTAACTCGATCACCTCTGTCAAGAAAATCTCTCAAGAAAAAGTTACAATAACTTCAGCGAAAACTCTTGTTGGATAATACACAAATAAAATTAAATATAAAATTCTTTAAAACCTATGTTCTCTTTCTATTTCCTCAATCGCTTTCTTTCTCTAACACCGCTCCCCGTATCTCTACTCCACCTCTCTTTCTCTACCACCTAATTTTCTTTCACTACCCACACTATTTCTGTACCCCAACTTTCTTTCTTTCTCTACCCCCAACTCTCTTTGTCCAGCCCCAGTTCTTTTTCGCTTATATAACAGCACAAAACTGATAATATAAACTATGTTGTTCCCCTTGCTTATCAGAGAAGACGCATTTTCCATATTATAACTTCCAAATGATTAGTCCGAATGTCCAGTTATGATCAAATTGTTCTTACAGCACATCATCGTCAATAATCAGCTGGCTGAATAGTGAAATGTCATGTAACTTCTACTGGCATGAGCAATGTTGGTTTATTTCTGCGTTTAAAATCTAGCCCGAAGGTTCTAAACTTTCTATCAAGGACCCATATTTTTTGCTTGACATTAACATTTAAAAAAAAATTAATTATTGTTTAAAATAAATTGTTTCGTACCATTTTATGGGGGGGACATATTTACTTATATTTTTTGATACACTTATTTCTCGTCGTTCCGTTTAGTAAAGATGACCAACTCAAGATCTGCTCTCCAGATCTTGGGAAAGAGAGTAGGTGCCACTCACTCAGTCGACGTTATTATTGATGACGTGTGCAAGATCGATGAAGTAGGGGGCAAGGTGACAATACAATGGATCCCAGGCCACGTCAATGCCAGTGGCAACGATAGAGCGGACACTCTGCGAAAACCGGGGCTGCCACAACTAGAAGTACCAATAACTTAGTTGGGAATAAAGAACTGGCTGGCGGACCACTTCAGGACGAGGTGGTACAGGCGGTGGGCAGACAGCACGACCGACAGAGGCTCGTTTCAAATTTGTCAATTCGTAGCAAACAGGACCCATGGTGGTGGTTAGTCAACAGACACCAGAGTTTAGTGATGTAGATGCACACTGAGCATTGCCCCATTAGTACATACTTCTCGCGGCTAGACAACAGGGATCCTACCTGCCGTCATTGCAGCCTGGCCCCGGAGACACTAGCGCACCTGTTGACCAAATGTCCCTCACCAGCTCTCCCGGGGGAAGCCAGGACGGTTGGAGAGCCCCAGAGTTGGAGAATGTTGTATTGTTCGGCTCAGCAGATGGAGCTGCTAGCCAATGTATTAACCGGGGTCATAAGAGAAAACTCTCAGACCTTCACGAGAATATATTATGTGTTAGTTAGTAAAGATGACAGAAATGGTTACTAAAATACCAAGTAAAGGCGAATTCTCCTGTATTTTTTAGCTATTTTTTTTTTTTAAATTAAAAATGAAATTAATGAGACCTAGAAGTGTAAAACCTCAAATATCAATGCCTGTGATAACTGCAGAAACAAAAAATATATAGTTTTGAGTTTTTCTAGTTTTTTTTTATTTGCTAAACCTGTCCAAAGTTGAATTGACGCATGTTTTCATCAGTTGAAACATTTAGATTTCATTTAATAAAAACTGATAATCATCTTTGTAATTATAGTTTCAAAAAAACCAAAAAAAAACAAACACAAAAAACAAAAAACAAACACAAAAAACAAAAAACAAACACAAAAAACAAAAAACAAACACAAAAAACAAAAAAAAACCACAAAAAACAAAAAACCAACACAAAAAACAAACAAACAAACACAAAAAAAACAAAAAACAAACACAAAAAACAAAAAACAAACACAAAAAACAAACAAACAAACACAAAAAAACAAAAAACAAACACAAAAAAACAAAAAACAAACACAAAAAACAAACAAACAAACACAAAAAACAAAAAAACAAACACAAAAAACAAAAAACAAACACAAAAAACAAACAAACAAACACAAAAAACAAACACAAAAAACAAACAAACAAACACAAAAAACAAAAAACAAACACAAAAAACAAACAAACACAAAAAACAAACAAACACAAAAAACAAAAAACAAACACAAAAAACAAACAAGCAAAAAGAAACCCTGACTTCATTTGGAAGGGAAAACATGTTAACTCATGAGCTGCTTGATGGCAATATATTTTATGTCATTAACCATTTAATAAAGCCATGACTTTTGAGGGATTGTCTTTGGTTTAAATTATATAATTTAAACATCGATAGCCGAGCCTAATATCCTATTATGTATTTATACAGCTATTCATGAAGAAATGTTACAGCGATTTTTTTTTTGTTAACAAGCAAATATAAATCGGTACGTAATCTGAGTGAAGTATTTGAACACACACACAGACACACACATGAAAGATGTGCTTTGCAGCCATTGAATCAACTGAAAGTGATGTGTTCTCCGGTGTTCACCGATAACGCCAAGAGTAAACAGGACCTTATCAATACATTGCTAGAAGCCCAATAGGTTCCGACGGCCACTGCCTGGTTTGTGGGGAATTCGTCTGAACCGGTCCTTGGCTGACGTGGACGGCGAATGTTATGTTTGGCCTAGGTATTTACAGGGAGGTACGTGATGGCGAGGCCATTTCTGATCACACCTGTCATAAAGGTCAAGGTATTCTGGACAGTGGCAATTGTTTTAATCAGCTGGTCAGCACTATGTCAAGGTAAGACTTTACTTAAGATGTCAATTCTATTTATATTACATCAATTGTTTTAGCAATCAGATTAGTAAACAAGAAATATGGGTGATATATTTTCACTTTTTTTTTTTTTGGTTGGTGCTTACTTCTATCGAAATTCGGTTAGTGAAATAATCAATCTTTTATCTTACTGGACAATCAAATATTACTTCTTATTGTACGGGCTCATGTTTTTATACCATTCACTCGGTGTTAATCACTGCAACTGAAGATGTTTTTACCATGCCGGAGCTCGCTCAATGGGGGATGGGTATGATCAACTTCAGCATTCTCGTCTCTAGAACACAGGAAGTTAAGTTACACTTTCTATTGTTCTTTCTGGCGCAAAGCACTTAAGAACGTAGCTCAATTTCTGTATCTTCTTAACGTATCTATGTTCTTGTATTGTGTAAACTGGTGGTTCTTAAAGTGCGTGGTGCCCCCCCCCCCCATTGGGGCGAGGGTAGTCCAGGGAATGGGGAGCTGAAGGGTTGGGAGAATTTTAAGAGGAGCTGCACCCCCCCCCCCCAAAAAAAAAAAAAGGCCTTGGAGAACTTATATCAGAATTTAAAAAAAAATTATTTTAAAAAAAAGATGACACATTGGATTGAATAAATATAGTCATCCTTTTAGAGGGCCAAATGTTCAGACAAATACCAATTTAAAATATATCAATGTAACAAATATCAATGTAGCAAATATCGATGTAACAAATATCAATGTAGCAAATATCGATGTAACAAATATCAATGTAACAAATATCAATGTAACAATGATCAATGTAACAAATATCAATGTACAAATATCAATGTAACAAATATCAATGTAACAAATATCAATGTAACAAATATCAAAAATAAAGAAATATCCAAGTAATAAACATCAATCTAAGCAACAGATTTTCAGGAGCTAAAAAACATGTAACATGCGAATCTGTCGGTTCTTTAACAAACATATTCCAAAACTTAACAAAGACCAGAAGACTAAAGATACAATTTTAATTGGGATAAACTGCAAGAAAACGTAAAATCACAAATTAGACGCAAGCTTTATTTTGTCATCTAAAAATTTTGTTTTAATTTTTAATTAGCATTACACAAAAGGCATATTTAAATTAATTATTGTGATATGAAACGGAAAATTCCTAGAGTTATGTAATAACCACACACTAGACAGATGTTATCACCACATCCAAGAAAGATGTAACAACCAAATCCTAGACAGATGTAACAACCGCAACATGGGCATATGTAACAACAACATCTAAGACGGATGTAACAACAAAATCCTAGACAGTTGTTACAAACACGTTCTAGACTAATATAAGAACAACAACCTAGGCAAACTTAACAACTATAACCTAGACAGATGTAACAACCATATTTTAGACATATGTAACAACCATATTTTAGACAGATGTAGCAACCATAACCTAGACAGATGTAACAACCATAACCTAGACGGATGTAACAACCATATTTTAGACAGATGTAGCAACCATAACCAAGACAGATGTAACAACCATAACCTAGATAGATGTAACAACAACAACTTAGGTAGATGTAACAACCTCATGCTAGACATATCTAACAACCAAATCGTAAAAAGAGGTTACAACCACAAGCTAGACAGATGTAACAACCACACATTGGACATATCTAACAACAACATCGTAAACAGATGTAATAACATCATCCTAGACATATTTATCAACCACATCTTAGGCAGATGTAACAACCACAATCTAGTCAGATGTAACACCACATCCTAGACAGACGTAACAACAACATCTAAGAAGGATGTAACAACCACATCCTACACAGTTGTAACAACCACAGTAGACTTATGTAAGAACTACATCTTGGACAGATGTAATAACCATATCCTAGACAGAAGTAACAACCACTTCTTAGACGGTTGTGAAAACGACATCTTGGACAGATGTAACAACCACAACCTAGAGTCTGTAACAAACACATTTTAGACAAATGTAAAGACCCAATCATAGACAGATGTAACAAAAACAATCCAGACAGATGTGACAAACACAACCTAGACGGATCCACAAACACATTTAGACAGATGTAAAGACCCTAACCTAGACAGATGTAACAACCACATCTTAAACAAAAGTAACAACCACATCTTAGACAGATGTAAAAATCACAGTCTAGACAGATCGAACAACCACATTTTAGACAAAAGTAGCAGCTAATCCTAGAAAGATGTAAGAAACACACTCCACAGAGATAAAAACCACATTCCAGGGTTATATAACAAATTTATCTTAGAAACATGTAACAAACACACCTTATACGGACGTAGCAAATACACCCTTGCGGCAAATGGTACTTTTATCTAGATGTCGGTCCCCTGCTTGTGGCCACAGAACATGTGTAAGTGTATAGAACACTTTTCTTGCCAGCCCCTACAGAGCTGATATGCTGAATGACCTTCAAGCTCCTACAGAGTTGATGTGCTGAATGACCTTCAAGCCCCTGAAAGCTAATGTATTGAAGTTTCAAATATCAAAACAAACGATGCATAGATTAATGTTTCTTAGTATTTATTAGTTTATGTCCTTGGCTGTGGATAGTGCATAACAAAGTATCATTATTTTTCAGAATAAATAAGGTGTCTAGAAATTATACACATACAACGATCAAATATAGTTACATAACTCCCTTCGAAAATGAAACAAAATCCTCTATAAAACTAAAATGACACTCTCTATCAAAAGCACTCGTCAATGTCTACTCAACATTCCTATTATTTTACACACTCTTTTTCTCATGTGTTTTTTTCACATACACAGCCACGGTCATACGTGGCTGAGACAATTCATGGGATTTTTTATGGTCAAAACTAAAGGGAAAAACCCGTTAAGTCTCAAACGGTATCATCAAAACAGACGTATAACATAATCACGCGGTCTGACCGTGACAACCCCAGTGACATGTAAAAACACTTTGTTTCAATATGTAACAGAGCCTTCTATACAAATATACGCCAAGAACAGAATTTTGTGGTCAGTGCGGTCACTCACAGAAAGCCAGTGGAGATCTTTAAGAACTGGGATGATGTGGTCAAGATTTCTTTTTCCGCGATACAATGAGCTGCAGTATTTTCTAACTTATTTCTTTTGTTTAGTTTTGTTTGAGTCTTTCCCACTGCAGTATTTGATTTAGTAATGACCTATTTGACCTATGATTTTCACAAACTTTTTTTTTTGGTTTTAAGCATTTAATTGTCTGCAGAACAAGAAAATAGTTTGACATAGTCTTGTAAGTGGCAGTAGAAATCTATTTTTAGAGATAACAAAGTCACCGCCTCGTCAGTACGACATTTGGGTCCCAGCTCGTCGCCCTCACACCCTAGCCTCAGGGACACGTGTGTTGGAAAAAATCTTTTACAGCATGAAGTGTAACTGACACACATGACTCAAGCAGTTCTGCCACCACCCTGTGTTATTCCTTGTCAACTATGTTGGGAAGGTGCAATGGTTGAAGACATTTTTTGTTTGTTTCAAAGTTGCCCCCAACCATCAGATTTGTCAAAATTACCAGAAATATTTGTAAATTAAGTTTCACTTCAGCATTTTAACAAAAAAATGTTTACTCAATTGACTCAAGGCTTGAACTGCATCCATTTTCTCTAAACAGCAGCATTAATTATTAACATGATTAACGAATGATTAAAGAGGCAGCAGAAAACATTTTAGCTGAAACAAAGTGATCTAAGATATCATTTAAACGGTAGCCAATTTATATGGGATGTGACCTTCCTGATATTCAGCCAACGCTGTTAAAACGTGCCATATGGTTTGATACGCCCGCAACTATGGTACGGATATATTGTCAGTTTATTATTGTGATGATTAAAATAAAAAATTACTGGTTTAAACAAATTAAATAATAAAACGTCAGGATAAACTAACGAAAACAAGTTTCTGAAAACTAAAGACCAGTTTTCATTTAACGTCTTGAGTTTAAACTCATACTTTGAATTTGTTTCCACCCAAGGCCAAGAACCCCGTGTAGACTGCTCAGATGGGAGAGATGACCTCATTCTTCGCTTCCCAAACTCGGACTTTCCTGGCTTCAACCAAAACAACCTAAGGGTCGCTTTTCAACCCGAGGTCACGGACAACTGTAATCCAACAGCGATCACACATACGAGCAACTTGGAATTCTATATCATCATTCCCCATGATAATTGTAGCACGACAAGTTATTATGCTGTAAATGTAAGTAAATTCTTTATACTGGGAAAATTTCTTTAAACAAACAAATAAAAAAACAACTGTTAAGTAAATTATTTTAATCCCAAAAAGGCTGCTTTAGTGCAAAGCAATGTTAGATATTTCATTGAGCTTGCAGTGATATTGAAGGGAGACATTCAATATAATATAAGACTCTCCAGGAGTTTTGCATTTCCAACAAATTGACTAGAGAGACACATATAGCTCTAAACAACTCAAAAAGTGGAATCGCGTTTTAGAGTGAATGTTCGAATGACTTAACGTTTAGACGATGCCTAAGACAATGAGATTAGAATATGCCTCGGAAAATGGGATAAGACGAGCCCTAAGAAAAGCTAGCATAAAAAGAGACCTAAGATAAGCTAAATTAGACGAGACCTAAGACGTGTTACATTAGACGAGACCTAAGACAAGCAATAGTAGACGAGACCTAAGAAAAGGTATAATACAGATACCTAAGACAAGCCATATAAAAAGAGGCCCAAAACTAGCTATATTAGACGAGACAATGATTTCAAACAAGGCCTAAGACAATAAGATTAGACAAGGCCTAAGACAATGAGATTAGACAAGGCCTAAGACAATGAGATTAGACAAGGCCTAAGACAATGAGATTAGACAATGCCTAAGACAATGAGATTAGACAAGGCCTAAGACAATGAGATTAGACAAGGCCTAAGACAATGAGATTAGACAAGGCCTAAGACAATGAGATTAGACAAAGCCTAAGACAATGAGATTAGACAAGGCCTAAGACAATGAGATTAGACAAGGCCTAAGACAATGAGATTAACGAGCCCTAAGAAAATGTGATTAGTCGAGGCTTAAGACAAGCTCTATTAGACGATATCTTAGACAATGAGACTTACTTCCTTGATATTATTTAAAAACCAGCGTTCAATGGAGCGATAAGAAACATACATATTGACACCTTAGGAACAGCCACAACATAATAATAATAATAATAATAATAAAGTTCATTTCAAAAACACGCTTCATCCCCAAAGGCTCGAAGCGCGGTACAAAGTCAACAAAAAACAAATCTATAATTTACCACATTTAAAACAAACGCAACACTACAAAAACTAATTACAAGCATACATTGGGAAAGTCTTTCAACCCATTTCAACCCTAAGCAACACAGCTAGTATGCCTTAACTGGAAAATAAGGTAGACAATCATCCCAGAAGTTGTTTGCGAAATAGATGTGTCTTTAAATTGGTTTTAAAGGACTCCAGTGTCTGGTTGTTTCTGAGATCGACAGGAAGGGCCTTCCAAATTGTTGGAACAGCAAATGCGAAAGTGCGCTTTCCGCAAGTCCCAAGGAACACACGTGGTGTCGAGAGTTTGCCACTATCGGATGAGCGGAGCTCTCTAGTGGGTACATAAGGCGTCAGCAGCTCTTTCAGATAGGACGGCGCCATGTCATGTAAGCAGCGGTAGCACAACGTTGCGATTTTGTACTCTATGCGAGCACGCACCGGCAGCCAGTGCAGCTCTCTCAGAAGTGTTTTAGCATGGTCGAACTTGCGTTTGCGAAGAACAATGCGAGCCGCATTATTCTGTGCTATTTGAATTTTATCCAGGAGCGTAGCTGGAAGACCCACCATGAGAGCATTGCAATAGTCCATGCGTGATAGCACAAATGCAGACATCAGCCTCTTTGTTGCATCAATTGTTTGGAAGGGCTTGATGTGACTAATCCTGTGCAGCTCCAGAAAAATCGCTTTGCATAGCATGTTAATATGACTTTCAAAAGTTAGTCTTCTATCTAGGTAGACACCCAGGTACTGCACTATTTGAGCTAACTCAATACGCACACCTGAGAGAGTAATGGATGTCGTGTTATTTGCAGATTTTTGCTTCTGAGCGGTCGCGATGTTGAGCAGCTCAGTCTTATCATCATTTAATTTGAGCTTGTTTATGTTCATCCAGTGCTTAACCGACTTCATTGTCTTCTGTGTCACACTGAGCAGCTGAGGGAACTGAGAAGGGATCACGGATTGATGAAGACATACCTACTGAGGGAAACACACGACCCACAATTGATGTACGCTCTTTGTAACTGAATCAGTATCTTGCGTATTTCGAAGACATTGCATTGTTAGAAAAAACTAGTATAGAAATATAAATTGATTTTATGGACTCATTAAACACATCTTACCAGCTGGATTGGAATTTATCAAGAGAAAAAAAAAACGACCATATTAAAAATTGAACAGTGAGATGGAACTATTCAAATAAGAAAACTTTATAAACACAAACAAGATTTTTGAATTTTTTGTGAACCAGCGAAGGACGAAGATGGATAGAGAATACGAACCAACAAGGAATAATAATGTTTATCAAGAACAGACTCTACTAGCAGAAATTTTAAAAAGTGTACATTCTCTGGGCTGGTCACTTGGAAAAAGTGCCAAAAGTCAGAGACGTGAAGAGGTTGCACCACCAAAACCCCAGAAAGAAAACGACTCAAAGGCAGACCTAGGCTTAGATGAATAGACGATGTAGAAATAGATACACAGCAGCAGAGAATCAAGGTATGGAAAAGGAAAGCATCATTTGGATCTGAGTGGAAGGAAGTAGTTACCCAAGCTAGAGCCCTAAAAGGCCGGTATTGGGATGGATGGTCAATATTTAAATTGTCTCAATTTTTTTTTCATTTTAAACTAAGTCACGATTACAACATATAATTTGTTTTGTCATATAAATGTGGTTCATCCTTATTGTGATTATAGAGTTTGTTTAGGAAAACAAAGAATCAATTTAGCATTAATTTTTTTATTTTTTTTTTAATTTCAGAACCGTGTTATGCAGAAATGTTACGAAAATCAAGTCGAATACAACGAATATAATACAACTATCAAGAAGTTTCAGATAAGATCGTGTGTAATTTTTATTTTTAGATTTATCTTTCATTATTCTTAACGAAACATTACGTAGTGTCCTACGTTTTTTTTTAAAATGTACTGTTTATCAACTCATATTCAATCACATTTCTATTATAATATATAACCGTATATTTGTAACCGTATATGAGGGTCTACTGACTACAAGCAGTTGATTCTCCATAAAACAACTATGATGTCTTTACTTGTTGTTAATACTATGCAAGGTCATTTTCTTGGAGAGAGATACCAAAAACTTTAAAACATTTTATACCCATAGTCTTAACAGCTCGGCTACACACATTACCGTTATTCAACTAGATTGGTACACACACCTCTTATGTGTTTTCCTGCTTTACTTTTATTCACACCAGCATGTGTTCATAAATCTCACACATTTTCTTCTCTTTTCACTTGATTAAACCAATGTTTACATTTTACGTACAGTTATATGGTTTTTCAATTTGAATATGTTTAAAAATTTTGGCTCGTTAGATAAACCACGTGTAACGAAATACAAAATAAAATATGCTGAAATAAAAACTATATTAATTTATATCACAGGAAGTGAAAAGTGTAATAGTCGAAAGATACCAATATAAATTCAAACACACACAAAGATTAAAATTTTGTAAGGCTCCAATGAACATATTTTGTCTCGTAAATTTCGTGTGTAGAAAATATGTCTAATCTTTCTCGGCTGGGAAAGCTTATTCATAGAGATGAAATTAGAACAATCCCGCCCACAAAGAAAATATATTTTGGAAATAGCATCAGGAAAAAGCATCCTTTAAAAAAACAAAACAAATAAAACGAAAGCAACTTTTCCCAATTAAAGGAGGGGTGGGTAATGGTAGAGCACTACACATTTAATCGGTTGATATCAGTATCGAAACAAAAGTGTGTGAGGGTGGATTGAGGTAAGGTTTAATGCCACAGCCAGCAGTGAATAAAAACTAGGTCGAACCCCAGGCTATAACATTACACAAATCGTGTACAATTTCATCTGTATTACCTTTATTAAACTAGATTTGTACACAATTATTGTACAGTTTGTCATGTATTGCCTTCAGCTAATGACATAAGTTTTTTTGTTTGTTTTTTTTTAAGAGAGCAGAACATATATTTGTTGCCCGTTAAAAAAATATTTTATAATTGCTACGTGGTAAAATAGTATAATATTGGTACAATAGTATAATATTTTAGGAGAAAATATTTAAATACTAGCTACATACAGTTTGGAAACCTTTTTACACAAGCAAGCTGCTACAAATATGAGATGGCTTTTGTGTACTACTAATTCATCTGTTAACTTTATTAAAGCAGTTTTACATTCTCCTACATTTTCTACTGCTTTACTTTATAAAAATGGATGATTGTGTACACAATTCTAGTACATTTTATTATGTATTACCTCCATGAAACTAGAGTTTTACAAAATTATTGTACATCTTCTACTGTATTACCTTCGGCTTAGGACTTGCGTTTTTTTTTCTTTATAGAGAAAAGAAACTATATTTAACTAGCTAGTTAAAAAATATCTTTTATAATCGCCAGGAGGTTTAAAAAAATGTATTGTGCCAAAAGACTTAACACTAGCTAAATACAGTTAGGAAACATTTTTATCCACGCTAACAGACACAAATATGAGATGACCACAGGTTCACCATTATTCCAACATAAATGAATTACTTGTTTCAATATTATTGGTAGGGATTAAATTTTGTTGAAAAAAAACACACACGGTAATTAAATAGTATGTAAGAATATCATGGAAGAGAGCCGTGAACATAACTTTTTATGATAAAACGTCTTGAAAGGTTAAGACAAAATAACAACCAAGCAAACAATGATAAAAATAAACGAAGGCAGATAGACTCGGAGGGGTGAGATTTTCTGGGACCTTGTCTTGAAAGTATTTATTACAATGAATGACATGCATCTTATTTCTTTTAAACTGAATAGATATCCAATTGTGTGCTGTAAGAACATCAACTACACAGCTCCAGTCATTCTGAGGAAAGCTAAACTTGTGCAAACCTTTGACTTTCAGGTGAGTTAAAATTATATTTCTAGCTGATTGTTGCTTATGTACCATAAAAAAATGGATCAATTTTAAAAAAAAATTTAAACAATTAATGTTGCCTTTAAAGGGGAAAAAAAATTATGGGATTACGTGCGCTTCTATACCCTCCTCCATTTTATGTTGAATTGAAGTCACTTTAATTTGTATAGAATTAATTCGTGGAAATAGTCTTTCTTGATATTTTGTTGAACTGCTGTTTCAATAACTTGGTAAATGGCGTTTGTCCAATGTACGCTTGTCATCCGTTTGACCACAACGACTTTTCTTAGAAACTCAATGATTTCATTGTTCACATTGCTTGTCTATTTTCATAGCTTTTTCTTAATTATATAACACGGCAAATAACGAACCTGTGGCTTGCCCTTCAAAATGTATACATAAAATTAAACCTAAAAAGCATACGTAATGTGAGCGGAACTAACAATTTAGATTAATTTATTGGCACTATTTTTTTTTTTAAATTTGTAGATTCCCATACACCTTAAGGTCAAAACTCCTTAAAGTATTTATCTATTATGCATATTTTGCCTCTGGTGTGTCCTGCTTCTTTTCCGATAAACCCTAACTCATGTTTTGTATTAAGAGTACTCAGTGAAAAAAGACTGTCTTGCGTGACGTGTGAACTCGGGAAGCCAATATTGTATTAATTAATAAAGGGTCATTGGTATAGTGTAAGTCTTTCTTTGGGACTTTTTTTATAACTGTCTGTAGGACTGTTGTTTAGAGGCCAACAGGTAGGTTGAAGAACTGCTGTTTGAAGGCCGACAGGTAGGTTGTAAGACTGTTGTTTAGAGGCCAACAGGTAGGTTGAAGAACTGCTGTTTGAAGGCCGACAGGTAGGTTGTAAGACTGTTGTTTAAAAGCCGACGGGTAGGTTGTAGGACTGTTGTTTGAAGGCCGACGGGTAGGTTGTAGGAATGTTGTTTGAAGGCCGACGGGTAGGTTGTAGGACTGTTGTTTAAAGGCTGACAGCTATTTTGTAGGACTGTTGTTTGAAGGCCAACGGGTAGGTTTTAGGAATGTTGTTTGAAGGCCGACGGGTAGGTTGTAGGACTGTTGTTTAAAGGCCGACAGCTATTTTGTAGGACTGTTGTTTGAAGCCGACGGGTAGGTTGTAGGACTGTTGTTTAAAGGCTGACGGCTATTTTGTAGGACTGTTGTTTGAAGGCCGACGGGTAGGTTGTAGGAATGTTGTTTGAAGGCCGACGGGTAGGTTGTAGGACTGTTGTTTAAAGGCCGACAGCTATTTTGTAGGACTGTTGTTTGAAGCCGACGGGTAGGTTGTAGGACTGTTGTTTAAAGGCCGACAGCTATTTTGTAGGACTGTTGTTTGAAGGCCGACGGGTAGGTTGTAGGAATGTTGTTTGAAGGCCGACGGGTAGGTTGTAGGACTGTTGTTTGAAGGCCGACGGGTAGGTTGTAGGACTGTTAATTAAAGGCCGACTGCTATTTTGTAGGACTGTTGTTTAAAAGCCGACAGGTAGGTTGTAGGACTGTTGTTTGAAGGCCGACGGGTAGGTTGTAAGACTGTTGTTTGAAGCCGACGGGTAGGTTGTAAGACTGTTGTTTAAAGGCCGACAGCTATTTTGTAGGACTGTTGTTTAAAAGCCGACAGGTAGGTTTTAGGACTGTTGTTTGAAGGCCGACGGGTAGGTTGTAGGACTGTTTGAAGGCCGACAGGTAGGTTGTAGGACTGTCTGAAGGCCTATTTCTCCAAATACCCATACCCTGTCAATAAAAACTGTACCCGGTTAAGCGCTAGTTACATAATATTTATTTAAAAAACCACTGAATTGCTATCATAGCAATTTAAAATAATATATTTTATTATTTAGTCAATTTCCACAGTTTGAGTTCTATCTAATGTGTCAATTCTACTGGATATTTGAGTTAATGATAGAACAATTGTATTTCCTATTAATAGCGTTGATATTTGATTTGGTGTGCAAGGAGATGGTTGCAAAGATGTGGTGTGCAAGGATATGATGTGCAAAGATGTGGTGTGAAAAGATGGGGTGTTGAAGGATGTGGTGTCAAAACATAAGGCATGAGAAGAGTTTGTGTGCAAGGTTATGGTGTGCAAAGATCTGGTGTGAAAAGATATGGTTTGCAAAGATCTGGTATAAAAAGTTATGGTTTGCAAAGATCTGGTGTGAAAATATATGGTTTGCAAAGATCTGGTGTGAAAAGATATGGTTTGCAAAGATCTGGTGTGAAAAGATATGGTTTGCAAAGATCTGGTGTGAAAGGATATGGTTTGCAAAGATCTGGTGTGAAAATATATGGTTTGCAAAGATCTGGTGTGAAAAGATATGGTTTGCAAAGATCTGGTGTGAAAGGATATGGTTTGCAAAGATCTGGTGTGAAAATATATGGTTTGAAAAGATCTGGTGTGAAAAGATATGGTTTGCAAAGATCTTGTGTGAAAAGATATTGTTTGCAAAGATCTGGTGTGAAAAGATATGGTTTGCAAAGATCTGGTGTGAAAAGATATTGTTTGCCAAGATCTGGTGTGAAAAGTTTTAGTTTGTAAAGATCTGGTATGAAAAATTTTAGTTTGCAAAGATCTGGTATGAAAAGATATGGTTTGCAAAGATCTGGTGTTAAAAGTTTTAGTTTGCAAAGATCTAGTGTGAAAAGATATGGTTTCCAAAGATCTGGTGTGAAAAGATATGGTTTGAAAAGATCTGGTGTGAAAAGATCTGGTGTGAAAAGATATGGTTTGCAAAGATCTGGTGTGAAATTATATGGTTTGAAAAGATCTGGAGTGAAAATTTATGGTTTGCAAAGATCTGGTTGTTAAAAGTTTTAGTTTGCAAAGATCTGGTATGAAAAGATATGGTTTGCAAAGATCTGGTGTGAAAAGATATGGTTTGCAAAGATCTGGTGTGAAAAGTTTTAGTTTGCAAAGATCTGGTGTGAATAGATATGGTTTGCAAAGATCTGGTGTGAAAAGATATGGTTTGCAAAGATCTGGTTTGAAAAGATATGGTTTGCAAAGATCTGGTGTGAAAAGATATGGTTTGCAAAGATCTGGTGTGAAAAGATATGGTTTTCAAAGATCTTTTGTACAAGGTTGTATCAGGGAATAATAACACTGTGTTGCCACAGATACAAGTGTCATCTACAAGTGTCATTCTTTCCATCTTTCTCTAGGCAGAGATCAACTTCTATCAGGATGAGACACTGGCTGCCAGGATCGATGCCAACCCGTACTCTGTTTCCATCGGAGATTGGGTGGTCGTGGGCATCAATGTCAAGGCCGAGTCACCGACACTCTTCGCGGACGGAGACCTGAAGCTGGTGATAACAAAATGTACACTTGACCCCACAGGACATCCGGATGTCAGTAAAAGTATCCTGATCATTAATGACAAGTAAGTGCTTCTGTGAGTTTTTATGGCTATTAACTAAGACAGCGTTGGCTTCAGTAGATGAGTTTGATCCCTTTCCTTTTTCTTAAGGGCCAACGATCAATGTATTGACCATTATGGCTCCTATGTTTGTAGAGGGAATTGACAATAATTCTCCTCCTGGTATCCCTTTTGTGTTCTTTCAGATTATGCAAAAAAAAAAAAAAAAAGGAACTCGTGTTCAATTTAAGGATATTTTTTAAAGTATTGAAGACATTTAAAGTTTCCAACTTTAAAAAAAAATTAATTTTCGTAAATTTGATCAGCTGATGTTGGCAATGCTCAAAGACAAGGAGATTTGCACAAAGCATTTTTTACTGGCACCCGCCCGTAACAATGTGAAGATGGTGTTACTTCGCAGGACGAGATCACAAGGCCTGGGATTTTTTTAAAATTAGAACTATAAGCTGGTTCACTAGACATCAAATTGACTTTCTCCACTGACCTGGATAACCCAATGGATCAGCATATTGTATGGATGATACAACTTTTCACCCTTTGCTTTGCATGAGTTGTCGGAATTGTATTAATGTATCCATTTACGGGACTCATTCTCTTAGATGAGTTGCCATCCAAGGTTGATGGGTCGCATCCATCCACACGGGTTACTGCTGATGTTTTGCTTGACATTGGCAGAGATTGAACTCCAGAATTGTTGGGTGAATTTTTTGAGTTGACACCACATGACAAGCCACACGACCACCCAGCCACACGACCACCCAGCCACACGACCACCCAGCCACACGACCACCTAGCCACATGACCATCCAGCCACACGACCACCCAGCCATATGACCACCTAGCCCAACGACCACCCAGCCACACGATCCCCCAGCCACACGATCACCCAACCACACGACCACCCAGCCACACGACCACCCAGCCACACCAATGGCGTCAGAAAACGGTGTCACAAAACATTTAAAAAATGGCTTTAACGTTAGGAGAATTTGATGAAAACCAAGAAAACCACATTAAACCTAAATTCTGATAACTGACCTTGTTAACAGTACAAGAGCTGATCTTTTCTGCCAAAGACAATCAAGGAAAGGATCGTTTTTCTAAAAGGAACAGTTGAGCCGACTATATTTGACACATTTGTGTCTAGTGCCTCGGGACTTCCAAACCCTAATTCATGATACCCTCGCTGAGCAGTACTTGCAACCAGTGAAATATTCATCACAGACAGGCACAGAAACGTTGCAAATCCCCTCTACGAGCATAGGAGTCAGAATCATCGATACATTGATCGCGGGCCCTTAATATAAAGAAGATGGGGAAGGAGAAGTGGAACTGCGAAAAATGAATCAATGACCACAATAAATGCACGCTACATTACACATGCACGCTACATTACACATGCACGTAACATTACACATTCACGCTACATTAGACATGCACGCTACATTAGACATGCACGCTACATTACACATGCACGCTACATTACACATGCACGCTACATTACACATTCACGCTACATTACACATGCACGCTACATTACACACGCACGCTACATTACACATGCACGCTACATTACACATGCACGCTACATTACACATGCACGCTACATTACACATGCACGCTACATTACACATGCTGCGATGTAATGTGTACGTGCGATGTAATGTGTACCACGCTACATTACACATGCACGCTACATTACACATGCACGCTACATTACACATGCACGCTACATTACACATGCACGCTACATTACACATGCATGCTACATTACACATGCACGCTACATTACACATGCACGCTACATTACACATGCACGCTACATTACACATGCACGCTACATTACACATGCACGCTACATTACACATGCACGCTACATTACACATGCACGCTACATTACACACACGAATTACTTGTTTTTTGCGGACAATGATTTATCAGTACATCTATACTATGCGATGTTCATAAAGCCTTTCTATTTTAATGTACACGCCATTTTGCACCCACCCCCTTACAGTTTATTTCCAATGTCCTCCCCAGCTGTCCAGTCGACGCTACAATCCTGAGCACACACTCCGTCAACGCTACGACTGAGTCGTTCCGTTTAAAGGTGTACAAGTGGTTTGGCTACTCCGCTGTGTACGTCTCATGTCACGTGCGCCTGTGTTTGGCCTCGAGTCCTGACCCAATTTGTGACAAGTAGGCAATCATAATAAAATCCTTGTTATAAGTAGGCTATCACAATAATATATTTGTGACAAGTAGGCCATCATAGTAATATATTTGTGACAAGTATTTCCTAAAATTGAATGTGACGTTATTAGTTGTTGTACATAAGGATTAATATCAAAAGTAAAGTTGGGGTGCACTACTTATCATTGGTTCACTACTAATCATTGGGTGCACTACTTATCATTGGGTCACTACTAATCATTGGGTGCACTACTTATCATTGGGTGCACTTCTCATCATTGGATGCACTACTTAAAATTAGGTGCATTACTTATCATTGGGTGCACTACTCATATACTGTTAGCACTACTCATATATTGGGTGCCCTACAACCTCATCACTCTTAACTCAACGGTACTTTTATTCTATCAAAATATGATGGATACTTGAATTAGTTATGCATGTATTGTTTATTTGCTAAGGTTAGTGCTACCTCGCAGTGACATTGCTAGGGTTAGTGCTACCTGGCAGTGACGTTGCTACGGTTAGTGCTACCTGGAAGTTACGTTGCTAGGGAAAGTGCTACCTGACAGTGACGTTGCTAGAGCTAGTGCTAGCTCGCAGTAGCGTGGCTAGGTTAGTTCTACCTGGCAGTGACATTACTAGGATTAGTGCTACCCGGGGGCAGACCAAGACCTTTCTCACCCACCTGAAACGAACAAACAATGCAGTTGGCCAAAAAATGCCGCCCCTCCATACAAAAGTAACACCCCCCCTCCATTCCGCACCACCTTACCGCACCACCATGAAGCTAAAATAATAATGTTTACCTCCCAACCATCAATTCGGTTTAACAAATAGTGCACCCCGATTTCTCATCTAAATTAATCAACAAATTGAGTTGTCTTTTTCGACGGTGCGTCATTGTTGCTTATATTCATATCTTCGGACCTGAGGTCCTTTTTAAAATCCTCTAAATTTAAAATTATAGTCAAAGTCATTTAAGTAACTCAGGGAACATTTTATTTACTTGTCTTTTTAGGTCGTGCCCGAAGTCCAGGAGAAGACGTCATATAAGTTATACCAAGCACGTGACATCAGGACCTAGCCAGACAGTCTCCAAAGCTTTCATTTTAAAAGATTCTGATTAAGGACGGGCAAAAAAATCTTTCAACAATTTATCCAAGAATTGAATTTAGTTTAAAATATTCAAGACCGAAATATTTAAATCATGAAATTATAGTTTATGACCAGAGTAACCTGTTCAAACGACCTGGAGATTCCATTCACAGTTTAGACGATCATTAAAAAGCCCAAAATTTGATTTTATTTGTTCTGTTAGTACATTTAAAATAAATAGAAAAAAATTTTTTTTAAATTAATTGAAGCTCTGTAGGGTTGGTTCAACGACCAACAAAAAACGCACTTGAAAATATTGATCACTGAAGTATAACCAAAAAAAAAAAAAAAAAAAAAAAAAAAATTTTAAAAAACTAAAAAAAAACAAAAAAAAAAAAAAAAAAAAAAAAAAAAATTTTTAAAATCTTGAAAGAACTCTAAGAAACCCATTTACAGCGAACTATAATCTTTAACAAAATTGTGCTCATGGACGCATGCTCCCACAGTAAAACAAATCATTAGAGCCTTTCTGTTTTAGCCACACTGACTGCGCCTTTCTGTCTTAGCCACACTGACTGAGTCTTTCTGTCTTTGCCTCACTGACTGAGACATTTTTCTTGGGATTACAATTATTGCATCATGTGAAATTGGCATCTTTTTTTTTCAGGAAAATAATGCTGTTCAAGCAGATTTCAATGAAAACGTTAATTCATTAAAAAAAATTACAATAACTTAACATGCAAAATGTTGACGGAACTAAAAATTCGTGTTATTGCTCCACTTTTTTTAAGTAGGTCCGTACCTAAATTTATGTTGCACAATAATTTTATAAGCTTAATATTTTAATTATAAAATTGACCTGTCTTAAATGGTTCAATCAATAGAAAACAGATAACTTGCAAATGCCTACTGAAACAATTCGTAAGAACTTTTCACCATCATGTGCAGGTCGCCATTCACCACCTACATACGTTTATTTTTCTCTCAGGTGTTCGAGTGTAACTTTCACTCGACAGATTCAACACACCTTTCATTTTATCATGTAAATCTTTCAAAGGTATACACTATAGTCGAAACTCAATGAAACGTCTCGGTGTCATAAAAATTTAGTTAGAAACTGTTAGTTTTTATCTTTTATAACATTATAACGTCCAGGGTTATAAAAATGGTGTCAGAAGTTTTTAGAGTTTACCTTTTATAACCGTATAAAACCCAGGAACCCAAGAGACATAGGAGCCATAATGATCAGTACATTGATCGTGGACCCTCAAAATATGATAGAAGAAGAAGTTTGTGCTTTAAATGGTAGGTTCTGATTAATTTTTAAATGAGAAATATAATAATCCAAACTGTGCTTTACAAATTCATTGACATCACCGCCTAGGACAGTGGTAGGAAAACTCATTAGTCAAAAGTAGGTCAGTGGTCAGCAAACTCTTTAGTCAAAAGTAGGTCAGTGGTATGAAAATTCATTAGTCAAAAGTAGGTCAGTGGTCGGAAAACTCTTTAGTCAAAAGTAGGTCAGTGGTCGGCAAACTCATTAGTCAAAAGTAGGTCAGTGGCCGGCAAACGCATTAGTCAAAAGTAGGTCAGTGGTCGGAAAACTCATTAGTCAAAAATAGGTCAGTGGTCGACAAACTCATTAGTCAAAAGTAGGTCAGTGGTCGGAAAACTCATTAGTCAAAAGTAGGTCAGTGGTCGGCAAACTCATTAGTCAAAAGTAGGTAAGTTGTCGGAAAATTCATTAGTCAAAAGTAGGTCAGTGGTCAGAAAACTCATTAGTCAAAAGTAGGTCAGTGGTCGGCAAACCCATTAGTCAAAAGTTGGTCAGTGGTCGGTAAACTCATTAGTCAAAAGTAGGTCAGTTGTCGGCAAAGTCATTAGTCAAAAGTAGGTCAGTTGTCGGAAACTCATTAGTCAAAAGAAGGTCAGTGGTCAGAAAACTCATTAGTCAAAAGTAGGGCAGTGGTTGGAAAACTTCTAGGTCAAAAGGACCAAAATCAGCAGCATATTTATTTTTAAGAACCTATCAAAAACCATGTTTTCCGGAGTCAAAACCGTTTTGTGATTGACTTGCCGAGCCGCACTCAGATCGCTAGAGCCGCGGTTTGCCGACCACTGGCCTATTTAGTAAATGAACGGTTAGCATAACAATTTAGTGCCGTACGTTTTTTGTCATTGACCGACTTGATTAATTCTTTATAAACACATGATGGCAATACTTTAAAAAATTCGTGTCTTGTACATAAATGGTTCGACCTGTTTGTGTTGGCAAAGATAGTGTACCAATTTTAGGGACAAAGGTCACAGATTTTCACCATCACAAACATAAACTTCAGATTCAAGGTGACACTTTATCACTATAGAGTTTGGCATACGTCACAATTTATCATTGTAGATTTTGGTCTACGTGACAATTTATCATTATAAATTTGAAATAGTGACAATTTATTGCTATACATTTTGGTGTAAGTGAACATTTATCATTATGCAGTTTGGTCTAAGTGAACATTTATCATTTTACAGGGGTGCCGCTATAACAGAACGGTGTCACAATAAAAAAAATTATGTAACTATCTCCCCCCCCCTCCCCCTTTACTGAATTCCAGAATGACCGTCAACATAAAGTGTTTAAAGTTTGTCTTTTTTAACACACAAATTTATGAGAGGACAATGATGATTTTATTTACTTGTTTTTCCTTCGGTAATCAACAATAATCAGTTATGGATTATGAGTAACGACCAAGAGCTGTGTACGTCTTGATGGCCTTTGCTTCAAACAAATAATACTAGATGATCTCACAAACCTAAGTATATGTGATGAAACATATTTTTAATGTTTAAATTAGGAAAAAACAAATGATTAAAAAATTGAAGTTAGAGAAAGACTAATTTTGTGATTTCAATGTTTATATTTGAATAGCATTAATCTAAATTGAGAACTGTTAGAAGACACATATGGATTGTGATTCCTTTAAATCGTAGCTTTTTGTAGGTGATCGTTAGTTTAAATTGAAATCAACATGTTTTCAGTTATACACCCTATAACAGAGATTAAATACCACTACTCTGGGAATCATTTTAAGGTTTAGTGTTTTTCCTTTATAATTAGTTTTACTTTTTGAATTGACAAATTGACTAGGCAATTATTCTAAAGTCTGGAAACTGAGAAATGTTGGTAATTCAACATTGACATTAACTTGTAGCTTAATTTATGAGTTAAATTTTAATCAGTTTCAATATTTTAATACGATATTGGCGCCTTTTGATTGTGGTATGCCATCTGGCTTGTCTTGATTTTGGTAGCCCTTCTGGTGCTCTGATTGTGGTAGCCCGTCTGGCGTCTCTTGATTGTGGTAGCTCATTTAGCGTCTCTTGATTGTGGTAGCCCATTTAGCGTCTCTTGAGTGTGGTAGCCCATTTAGCACGTCTTCATTGTGGAAGGTCATCATGGCGTCCCTAGATTGTGGTAGCCCCTCTGCCGCCTCCATCAACCTGCACAAAGGGTTGCCAACTCAAACAAAATAAATTTACGGACATATATTCTAGATCTCTTATTTTTAAACAGACAAATACATTCTATGAGGGACAATTTATTAGGATAAACTTATGAAGCTTAATAGACTCCACATTTTTCTGCAGTACGATCAAACTATCTTAGTGTATTACTGTATCAACGCCTGTAGATTGTTTAAACTTATTTACAGTGTTAAATATCTGCTGGTTGGGATCATATGAGTGCCCAGCAAGTCAGAAAATGGACTAAATTTGAGAGACTAACTCTTTATTTTGTTTCAATTTTTTTCCTGCCACTGTATCACATTTTTTAAGGACATCCTAAAGTCGTCATGGACATTTCTGTTCACGGCACTTTAGGTCAAACTTTACGGACTGTCCATTATGTATGGCCTTTTGGCGACCGTACAACACCCCAGCATTCACCATTACAAATATCTTTATGAGTAAATTAAGAGAATCTTGTTCCTCTAATGACCTTGCTTATCTAATGACCTTGTTCCTCTAATGACCTTGCTTATCTAATGACCTTGTTCCTCTAATGACCTTGCTTATCTAATGACCTTGTTCCTCTAATGACCTTGCTTATCTAATGACCTTGTTCCTCTAATGACCTTTCTTATCTAATGACCTTGTTCCTCTAATGACCTTGCTTATCTAATGATTTTGTTCCTCTAATGACCTTGCTTATCTAATGACCTTGTTCCTCTAATGACCTTGCTTATCTAATGATCTTGTTCCTCTAATGACCTTGCTTATCTAATAACCTTGTTCCTCTAATGACCTTGCTTATCTAATGACCTTGTTCGTCCAATGTCAAACATGATTTTTTTTTTCTATTTGAAAAGGCCCGTGATAATTTTGTCAACCTATCTGATAATTTGGATGACTAATTGTAGTCCCTTCAAATGACATCGTCCATAAAACTATTTATAGCCTCTCAACTGGTGGACACAATAACTGAAGATTGCATACTTGTTTCGGTTATTTTCCTTTTATGTCTACACCTTTTGACAGTGTGGCCATGAACAAACTCTCAAGCATTCAAATATTTGTACATTTCCTGTTATAAAATCTATACCTTGAATGTGGAGTTTAAACCCATCTATTAAACTGAAGTAGTTCATTGACTTGACGCAAGAGTAGAGCTTAGCTGTTTAATAAATTTAGCTGATACACTATATTGAAAACTTACATATAGACAAGTACATATAGTATAAAAATTTAACTAATTCTTTTTAAGCACAAGAAAGGAATTAGTTATCGTTTCAAGCAACTTGTTCTGTGTGCGCAATCGTCCATGCTAGATTTTTAAATTGTATTTGTTAAAATTTGAAATTTTTGGTTAGGTGGTTGGGGGGGGGGGTATATTTCAGTGACTTGGTTTGATGTGACGTTTTAACATAAGCGATTAATATGCCTGATCCATCTTAAGCCTGATCTATCTTAAGCCTGGTCTATTTTAAGCCTGGTCTATCTTAAGCCTGGTCTATCTTAAGCCTGGTCTATCTTAAGCCTGGTGTATCTTAAATCTGGTCCATCATAAACCTGATCAATCTCGGCATTGGTGATTTATTTAAGAATATTTTCATTAACTCAGTTAAGCTCATACCTTTTGTGGGTGTACAAAGGCGAGATGTCTTTCTGTATTTGATTACCCTAGCACTTGATTTGTGTCTTTGATTACCCTAGCACTTGATTTGTGTCGATGATTTAGTTTAAAATCTGTTCTTTTCTAAAGTGGGGAAGTCTTATAATGTTTGCAAACAATGTTTGAATTATAATTTAATAAATTTAGTACTCTTTAGAATATTTATTTTTACATGATTAAAATTTTGTCGCAGTTTAGCTGTTTTAAAAATGTAATTAGTTAATTTCTATCAATCAGTCAAGAATATCTCCTTCAAATTCAACGAACCCGTGATGTTGTTAATTATTTTGTTTATGCCATTAGTACTTGACGAATAAAAACAGCAGCTACTAATATTTTGCATTATGTCGTTATTTTTTATGTGTTAGGTTAAAGTGTTAAAATAAAGTTTCGCTTTTTAAATCTAAAAAAAAAAAAAAATCATTATCAAAAAAGAAATCTATCTTTTGAAACTTCATTGAAGGATTACATATCTGCTGATTTCCCGTCCATAAATAAATTTTTACTTGACAGACGTTTTTCATTGGATTTCACGTCGTACAAGGACAGATATGAATGAATCAGATTTTAACAATAGCCTTCAAATAAACGATAAGGGAGCCCGTACCGAGATATAACAAAATAGTTAATTGGCATTAAAAGGTCAAGGTAGTAAGGCCACCCAGATATAACTTCTCATTCACAATCATGAGTCATCCTCTAACTCAGCTCTCCACATCTTGTTTCAAGTAGGTAGCTCCGACGCAGAGTTCACATCTTCTGCTAGGAATCTTGGTTACATTCTATCTGACAACATGTCTCTCAATAATCATATTTCATATATAATCATAATCACAGATGTCACCCTGCATACAGCGCTATCCGTCAGATGAGCTCCATCCACCACTATCTCATAGTCAGCGCAAAAAAAAACAACAACACTTGTTCTCTCTCGTATCGACTATTGCAACTCTCTTCTGTCACGTTCACCAAAATATTCCATAGAAAAAGTGCGGAAAGTTCAAAACTCAGCTTCTAGGTTAGTTTTAAAGAAAAAGAAAAATGATCATGTCAATCCACTACTTCACTCGCTCCATTGGCTCCATATACAGGCACCCATTGATGACAAGCTGTCTGTTCTTCCTATCTTACTGAACTTGTTTCTCTCTATTCCCCATTTCGAAAGATACGTTCCTCCGCAGACACACGTATTCTTTATGTTCCCAGAACACGCACTAAAACATATGGTGAACGATCTTTCTCGTTTTGTGCCCCAAAACATATGGATTTCTCTCCCATTAGACATCCGAAATATAACCACCATCACAGCCTTCAAAACTGCCTTCAAGGCCCATCTCTTCAGACGGTATTATACCGAATCATTCTCACCCCCTCTAACTGATAAACAACGCTCGAT